AATCATTTACTCAGTTTTATTTATTTATTATTATTATTCAGTTTGACCAGAGAGAGAGAGGAGAGTGAGAAAGAAAGTCACCAGGTCCAGGATGTGAACCACGGTCGGCCATGTCCAGCACCTTAACCACCATGCCACCTATCGCCCCACCCCCGTTTGTCTTTTGTTAATTTTGTCAAGGGTGTACATACTCCCCAGAGAGGTACAGACAGGGAGAAAGCACCTTTCTGGTGCTTTGGGGAGTGGCCCTGCCACAGTCCCCGTCGCCATTTCTCCATGCTGTGAGATTTGGGGCACACACACACGCACACACACACACGCACACACACACGCCTGGCATGCTTCTCAAGCTGCCGGGGCCAGGATTCAAACTACGTGGCTGGCCATGTGGGATCTGACTCCCTTAATCACTAGGGCATGGGGTTGTCCCCCACACACACACACACATGTTTTTGGTTTTGTTTTTTAATTGTTTATTTGGAGACCAGCAGATGGTGTAATGGTTACATCATACTCCCACATAGTCGGCCACGGTTCGGGTCTCAGACCCAGTGGCTTGAAACTCAGACCACGCGCATATGCATGTGTGTCCAAGGAGAAGGGATTGTAGCGTGGCCATTCTCCCTGGGGGTAATTTCTCACTTTATGTCTCTCAGTGAGTACATGTGCCCTATAGCAAAAATCTCTTAAAAGTGATTTATTTCATTGTATTTATTATTTTTTAAAGTTATTTACTTATTTAATTCCATTTGTTATTATCCTTTTCTAATTTGACCAGAGAGAGAGAGAAAGAGAAAGGGAGAAAGCAAGCTGCTAAGTCTGGGACTCGAACTGTGGTTGGCCACGTGGAATCCAGCGCCCTTAACCACCTCGCCACCTGCCAGCCCCTGCATTTATTATTGTTGTCATTATTTTAAAATTTTCTATAGGGTATGTGTGCTTTCCAAAGAGAGACAGAGAGCAAGCAAGGGAGAGAAAGTGAGAAAGCAAGTTGCTAGGTCTGGGACTTGAACCATGGTCAACCTTGTGGGAGTCCAGCACTTTAACTGCCATGCCACCTGCTGGCCCTCATGCACTTTTTTTTTTTAGAGAGAGATATTTTTGCTATAGGGTGCATGTGCTTGCTGGAGAGGCAGAGAGACAGAAAGCAAGAAATCTTGGGCATGCATGTACATGCACCCAGCATGAGTTTAAAGCCACCGGGTTTGGGCCTCACACTGCAGCTGACTATGTGGGAGTCCAGCGACATAACCGTTATACTATCTGCTGGTCCCCACATGCAGTGTTTGTGTGGTTCCTGTCTTAGCTTAGTCTGCTATAACAAAATACCATAGACTGAACTTTCTTTTAGCTTAAACAATAAACATTTATTTTCTATAGTTCTGGAGGCTGGGGAGTTCAAGGTCAAGGTGCTGACTGATCTGACCCTCTTCTTGGCTTGCAAGAGGTCATCTTCTCTCTCTTCCATTAGGCCCTCACATAGTGGAAAGAGAGGGTGTGTGATCTCCTGTCTCTTTCTCCTCTTAAAAGGACATCAGTCTCGGGAACCAGCAGTTAGCGTAATGGCAATGTCGCTGGACTCCCATGTAGTCAACTGCGGTTCGCGTCCCGGACCCGGTGGCTTAAAACTCACGCCAGGCGTGTGTGCATGCGTGCCCAAGATCCCGAGAGGAGAATGGAGGAGAAGGGATTGTGGCGTGATCATCCCCCCTGGGGGGTGATTTCTCGCTTTCTGTCTCTCTGTCTCTCTCTGTCTGGCGAGCGCACGCGCCCTATAGCGAAAACCTCTCCAAAAAAAAAAAAAAGGACATCAGTCTCACAGCAGGGTTGGCCTCACCCTCGTGATCTCATCTAAACCTAAGTAGTCTCAAGGCCTTACCCTTAAATGCCATTACAGGAACAGCAGTTGGCGCAATGGCTGTGTCGCTGGACTCCCATGTAGGTAACCGCAGTTCGAATCCCAGACCTGGTGGCTTAACTCACGCTGGGCGCATGTGCGTGCATGCCCAAGATCCCGAGAGGAGAATGGAGGAGAAGGGATTGCGGCGTGGCCATCCTCCCCCAGGGTGATTTCTCACTTTCTGTCTCTCTGTCTCTCTCTGTCTCTCTGGCGAGTGCACACACCCTATAGCAAAACCCTCTCCAAAGGGGGGGGGGAAGCCATTACATTGGGAGAGTAGGGCTTTGGTGTGAGTTTGGGGAGACGAACATTCCGTCTGTAACAGTTCCAAAGCTTCTGTATCTGGTTCTGCCACCTTTCCCTCTTTCTCCCCTTATAGAGAATTTTTTAGAGATTTTTGTTATAAAGTGTATGTGCATTTGTGGGGCACAGATATGGCTTATTATCTGTTGACGAGGACCTGCATATACTCGCTACAGGGCTGGACAGAGGTGTGTGTCACGCTGGGTAAAGTCTCTTCACACTCTAAATGATGTATAGTGATTAAATATATAAATACTAATTAAAATTAATAATATGTTTAAAAAAAAGAATGATATAACGTAAATTAAAAAAATATATGTTTAATAAAAAAAAAGTGTACGCGCTTGCTAGAGAAAAACGAGAGACACACAGAGAGAAATCACCCCTGGGGGATGGCCTACCACAATTCCTTCTCTTCCCTTCTCCTCTTAGGATTGTGGGTACGCACCCACACAAGTGTGAGTTTCAAGCTACCGGAAGCAGGACTGGAACCCTGGTCAACCACGTGGGCGTCCAGTGCCTTAACCACTGCGCCACCTGCTGACCCCTGGAGAATCACTTGTGTGTGTGTGTGGTTTTTCCTCTCCTTTCTTTCTTTCTTTCTTTCTTTCTTTCTTTTTCTTTCTTTCTTTCTTTCTTTCTTTCTTTCTTTCTTTCTTTCTTTCTTTCTTTCTTTTTAAGGTTTTAGTGAGAGAGATACAGAGAAAGAGAAATTGCTCCCCCCAGGGGGTGGAGGATGGCCACTCCATGGTCCCTTCTCTATCTTCCTCTGGAGTTTTTGGGCATGCATGCACATGCTCCTGGCGTGTTTTTAAGCCACCAGGTCTGGGACTCGAACCATGGAGTCAGCCATGTGGGATTCAGTGCCACCTCCTGGCCCATCCATTATTTATTTTTGAAGATATAAAAAAATACACTCACAAGCTTACGTACAGCTGTGGAACCCGGATATATCTGTTTCCCCTCTGCCCCATTTTCTCATGCAAGAGGAAGCATACTACAACCTGGTGAATATACTTAAAGTCACTGAGTTACAAAAAAAATTAATGATTAAAAAAAAAAGAATTGCACACTTTTATTATTTTTTTTGAGAAGTTTTTGCTATAGAGTACATGTGCTGGCCAGAAAGACAGAGGGAGACAAAGACAGAAAGTGAGAAATCACCCCCCGGGGGGATGGCCACACCGCAATCCCTTCTCCTCCGTTCTTCTCTCGGGATCTTGGGCATGCACGCGCACATGCCCGGTGTGAGTTTAAGCTACCAAGTCCGGGACTTGAACCACAGCTACATGAGAGTCCAGAGACATAGCCATTACACCAGCTGCTGATCCCAAGAATTGCACACTTTAAAAGGGTGAACTTTTTTTTGGAGAAGTTTTTGCTATAGGGCGCGTGCGCTCGCCAGACAGACAGAGAGGGACAGAGAGACAGAAAGCAAGAAATCACCCCCCGGGGGGAATGGCCACACCGCAATCCCTTCTCCTCCGTTCTTCTCTCAGGATCTTGGGCACGCATGCACACGCACCCGGCATGAGTTTTAAGCCACCAGGTCCGGAACTCGAACTGCAGTCGACTACATGGGAGTCCAGCAACATAGCCATTACGCTAACCGCTGGTCCTGGGGTGAACTTTTTAAATTGCTGGAGGGTGCATGCACTCTTCAGAGAGTTGGAGAGAGAGTGAGAGGGAAGTACCCTCAGTAGGATGTGGTCACCCCACAATCCCTTCTCCATTTCTCCATTTTGGGCATGCATACACATGTGTCTGGCGTGTTTTTCAAGCCACTGGGACCAGGACTCAAACCGTGTTCAGCCATATGGTATTCAGCTCCCTTAAGCGCTTACTAAGCCATGGGCCAGCCCTCACAGAGTGAATTATATCTCAACTTTTTTTAAAAAAAAAAGAATTATTAATTTAATTTTATTTATTTATTCATTTATTTTAATTTGACCAGAGAGAGACACAAAGAGAGAGAGAAAGTGAGACCGCAAGCCACCAGGTCCAGGACTTGAACCGTGGTCAGCCATGTGGGAGTGTCCAACACCTTAACCACCACACCACCTGGTGGTCCCTATATCTCAACTTTTTAAGGGCAAACATACTAGAAAGTGTTGTGCTCTTGTTTTTTTTTCACTTAATTTTAAGTTCACTTTATATCCCTGTAAAATCTCCCTGGTCTCTTTCTTCTTTTTCTTTAAATAATTATTTACTTAATTTTATTTATGCATTTATTTTAATTTGACCAGAGAGAGACAGAGAGAGAGAGAGAGAGAAGGAGAGGGAAAGTGAGAAAGCAAGCCACTGGGTCCAGGATTTGAACCTCAATAGTCTATGTGTAGTGTCCAGCACCTTAACCACCATGCCACCTGCTGGTCCCCTCCCTGGTTCCTTTTTGCTACATTAAACTCTTAGTTTATTCAATCAACCCCATTGCGATTGGATGGACATTCAGGCTGCTTCCACCCTTCACCATTGCCGTGGTAACCAATGGCCACGTGAATGTGTTATTTCATGTTCCTGAAGGGTGTGCTTGGGATGACTGCTAGATAGGGAATTGCTGATTAATCCTACAGAGTTTTGCTTGATGTTGCCAAATCCCCCTCCTCAGAGGAGCAGGGTTCTGCTCAGTCCTCTCCTAGGCCTGTCCTTACTCCTGCTGCTGCGCTGTCTGGTCCTTGACCTCCCTGCACGGGGAATACCATCAAGTCTGCCTCAAACTCCTGGGTCTCAAGGAGCCTGGGCCGGCCGAAGATGGAGCAGACTCGGGCGCCCCTCATGTCCCCCTCTCCTTCCCCAGCTGGATCCTGTATGATGAGAAGAACTTCGAGGGGGACCAGCACATTCTCTCTGAGGGCGAGTTCCCCACGCTCACGGCCATGGGCTGCCTCGCCTCCACAGTCCTGGGTTCTCTGCAGAAGGTGCCTCTGGTGAGTGCCCCATCCAGCTCAGCAGGGCCCTGGGCACGGAGCCTCTTCTCTGTGGGCCACTGTCTGGTGGGCTTGTGGTGGGAGGGGGCATGTTTAATCCAGTCTTCTGCAGAACCACCCCAGGTCCCCTTGACTCAGGGCTTCAAAGCCTGTTTAATGTACTAGGGTTTGTTTTTGACATTTTTAAAAAAGAAATTTTTTTTTTCTTTTTGAGAGGTTTTTTTGCTCTAGGGCGTGTGTGCTTGCCAGAAAGACAGAGACAGATAGAGAGACAGAAAGCGAGAAGTACCCTCCTTGGTGGGAAGTGCCAGGCCGTCCTCCCTACTCCATTCTCCTCTCAGGATCTTGGGCGCGCACACGTGCCTGGCATGAGTTTAAGTCACTGGGTCTGGGACTCGAACCGTGGTCAACTATGGGGGAGTTCAGTGACATAGTCGTTACATCAACTGCTGGTCCCAAAAAAAGAATGATTAATTTTATATATTATTATTATTATTTTTTAACTTGCTGTAGGACACGTACATTCACGAGAGAGAGACAGAGAAAGAACACCGCCAGGTCCAGGCCTCAAACCACATCAGCCATGTGGGAGTCCAGCACCTTAACCACCACGCCACCTGTCGGCCCCATGTTTTTGTTTGTTTGGTTTTATAGAGTTTTTGCTGTAGGATCCATGCGCTCACTAGAGAGAGACAGAGAGGGAAAGTGATCCCCTGGGGGCTGGCCCTGCTGCAGTCTCCTCTTCCCCATCCTCTTGGGATTCTGGGTGTGCGTGCACACGTGCCCAGTGTGATTTCCAGGCCGCAGGGTTAGGGACTCAAGCTGCTGTCGGCCATGCGGGAATCCAGTGTCTTTTTTTTTTTTTTAAGAGATATTTTCTTCTATAGGGCATGTGTGTTCACTGGAGAGACAGAAAGACAGAAAGTGAGAAATCACCCTCGGGGGGATGGCCACGCCACAATCCCTTATCCTCTTGGGATCTTGGACACACGCTCACGCACCGGGCATGAATCTTAAGCTGCTGAGTCAGGGACTTGAACTGCAGTCAACTATGTGGGAGTCCAGCCACGTAACCATTATGCCATCTGCTGGTCCCAGGAATCCAGTGTCTTCCCCACCACGCCACCTGCTGACCCAACTTCCTAGGTTTTTGTTGAACGTCCACTGAGATAGGTCCTGGGAACACGGATAGAAATCAGACACAGCCCCACTTTCAAGGAGCCCGTGGCCACAGGACAAAGACCACGGTGCAGAGTGGTGCCTTCAGCTGAGTGCGAGGTGCCGGGACTGGCTGGGTGGGCTGGGGTGGAGGCCGGCACTGCCAGGGTGCTGCTCCGCATGGGGACGGTGACAGCAGCACCTGGGAAGACGGCTATGCTGTTGAAGGACAGGAGCAGGTGCACAGTGGGCTGCTGCCCCAGTGGCCCAGAACAAATGGTGCCAGCCTGGATCAAGGAGGAGATGGGCACAGTGACATGGCCGTCGTCAGGAGCGAGTATCTGTAGGCCCTGGTGCCCCGCTGTAGGGCATGAAGCCCAGCTGTAGACCCTGGAGCCCAGCTGTAGGGCGTGGAGCCCAGCTGTAGGGCCTGGAGCCCAGCTGTAGGGCCTGGAGCCCAGCTGTAGGCCCGAGAGCCCAGATGTAGGGCGTGGAGCCCAGCTGTAGGGCATGGAGCCCAGCTGTAGGGCCTGGAGTCCAGCTGTAGACCCTGGAGCCCAGATGTAGGGCCTGGAGCCCAGCTGTAGGGCATGGAGCCCAGCTGTTGGGCGTGGAGCCCTGCTGTAGGCCCTGGAGTCCAGCTGTAGGGCCAGGAGCCCAGCTGTAGGCTCTGGAGCCCAGCTGTAGGGCCTGGAGCCCCGCTGTAGGGCCTGGAGCCCAGCTGTAGGACGTGGAGCCCAGCTGTAGGGCCTGGAGCCCAGCTGTAGGCCCTGGAGCCCAACTGTAGGGCCTGGAACCCAGCTATAGGGCGTGGAGCCCAGCTGTAGGGCCTGGAGCCCAGCTGTAGGCCGTGGAGCCCAGCTGTAGGGCCTGGAGCCCAGCTGTAGGGTGTGGAGCCCAGCTGTAGGCCCTGGAGCCCAACTGTAGGGCCTGGAACCCAGCTATAGGGCGTGGAGCCCAGCTGTAGGGCCTGGAGCCCAGCTGTAGGGTGTGGAGCCCAGCTGTAGGCCCTGGAGCCCAACTGTAGGGCCTGGAACCCAGCTATAGGGCGTGGAGCCCAGCTGTAGGGCCTGGAGCCCAGCTGTAGGGTGTGGAGCCCAGCTGTAGGCCCTGGAGCCCAACTGTAGGGCCTGGAACCCAGCTATAGGGCGTGGAGCCCAGCTGTAGGGCCTGGAGCCCAGCTGTAGGGTGTGGAGCCCAGCTGTAGGCCCTGGAGCCCAGCTGTAGGGCGTGGAGCCCAGCTGTAGGGCCTGGAGCCCAGCTGTAGGGTGTGGAGCCCAGCTGTAGGCCCTGGAGCCCAGCTGTAGGGCGTGGAGCCCAGCTGTAGGGCCTGGAGCCCAGCTGTAGGGGGTGGAGCCCGGCTGTAGGCCCTGGAGC